AAAAAAAAAAAAAATATATATATATATATATATATATATATATATATATATATATATATATATATCTAATTTGTATTTGCTACAAGTCAAAAAACAGTTTAATTTAAAGGAGTTTGATACTTTAGCACGGAATATTCTCGGGCATATCCCTTAAGGGGTTAAAACTCATTAATTTCTGATCTGACTTTCTAATTCTTTGTATAGTGTCTTGATACGCATATATACTATGATTCATTTGTCACTTTGACAGCTTGACAAATTATATTTGTCGTGTCTACGTATACATCATATCTAAACATGATAGAAACCGTTAGAAAGATTAGTTTTGGTCTAGTAAATGTCGAGGCTTTATCGAAATTTTTTGTACACCTTGTCGTCGTATTTAACGCAACGCGCGTTCTCTAAACGCTTTTCGCAGTTCTCACGATAGTAATGTGTATAAAGTATGCATGAAAATACGCGCGCGTGTTAAATAAATAAAAAAAAAATATATAATGATTTATAATGCGGACATTTTTGTTTATTCAAAAGCGTCGCATTGGCTCACTCACCAGTTCTGCATCTCCGATCAACAGTTGCGGCTGTCGTGATAAATCCCACGGGAACAACGCTGGCAAACCTAAAAATACAAAATCGATAGGCTGTCATAAATAAAGCCGATATTCCCGCGCGACAGTTTACCGGGCATAAGTAAATTACACCAGCGGTAATGCACACCTATGTCCATTATATCCTCACGCCGAGATGAGCAATCGCGCGATTACTGCAGCGAGTAAACAATCTCGGCGTAATGGATTTTCGAAAAATAAGATTAAAGTAAAAATAGGAGATTACCACTGGCGCGTCGATGGGATAATAAAACGGGCAACGCGACCATGTCTATCGAAACAAACGCGCGAGATGAATGAGAATTATAATGACGAGGCTCGGAAAAGTTCCTCCTCGCAACTGTACGAGGTCGTGCGTGCGATTCTGTTTCTTTGAAGATAAGAAACTTTATCCCATCAACGTTGATCTTTTGTACTCCAACAGAGTCGTAGTAACCAACCCAAATTTCTCTCAAAATTCAAAAAATATAGCGTATCCCGAGTCGAAATTTTGATGCTAAGCTCTTAAAGATAGTTTACGCCTACTTAGACAGTTTATAACTAGGTAAAACCTACTTTGAAGATATTGATACTTATTAACTTCTCTTTTGAACCTTTAACTCTACCTTGTCAAAATTTTGACGCTACTTTGACGCTCTTAAAAATAGTTTAAGCCTACTTAGATAATCTACAACCTAGGTAAAACCTATTTTGACGATATCGACACTCATTTCCGAATCGAAATTTTGACCCTATGTTGAACTTTGAATTCTATACCGCAGTAGAAGCTAAGACAGCAAAGTAGGTTTAATTCTAATGATATAATTTACTCCTACTTTGATAATGTCTGAAATATATGCAACAAATAAAATGTATATTTTGTATGCTATTTGACGTTTTTGTTTCGTTATTTATTAAATTTTTTAAATATTTCTATAAAATACATATGTTCTATGTAGGAGCTAAAGCTTCAATAGAGGTTCGCAACTAAACCTACTTTGTTTCCTAAGATCCTACTATTATACAACCTACTTTGACGCTAAAGAAAGTGAAAGCAAAAATTTCAGACATCATTAGGGTCAAAGTAGAAGTAAATTATGTCATTAAGATTAAACCTATTTTGCTATCTTAGCTCCTACTGCGCTATAGAATTCAAGGTTCAACATAGGGTCAAAATTTCGACTCGGGTATCGGGGCCTTTCAGGTTTAAAATTTGACAAAAAAACGGCGCCGCCGTGTTTAAAGCGCGCAAGAGTTTAAACCACGAACTATACCGCCAACGCGGAAATGCACATTGATTATATCGTCTTTGTGTCGTATACCGTTCGACGTTTCTGTTACGAGCGTTGCGTGTTTTACACGCTTATCTTTACGAGCTTTTGGACCACGAAAGGAGATAGCTGACACCGATTTTTCCGGCAAACAAAAAGGAACGTCTCACACGAATGACCCGGGCTTTTAATTTCTCCTCTTCGTGTTCGAGTGTTTTTTTTTTCTGAGAAGGCGCACTGAAAAGTAAATATTTGAAAATTTATTTGGGGTATATAGAGTTTATATTCCTGCGAAATGAAGTTAATTTCTGTAAAATAAAGTTTATTTTTGCGAAATAAATTTTTGTCCCCCGTACACAAATAAATTTTCAAGTATTTTTTCACAGGGCATTAACGAGAGTGGAGCATACATTGCGTATGCGCTTATCGGTATGTTGCTTTACGTTAAAATAATAATTTGAATATACATATATTTACACGTTTTCCAGCCGGCTTGAAAGAAAAATAATATCTCTTCAGTTTCGAGCAGTTACGTCATCCACACTACGCGCGCAAATATACTCTAGAATATATTAATACCTAAAAAAATATAACATTATCTTTTGCGGAAATCTTGTTATATAGAGTGTCCCAATGTTCTTGCGGCTTTAATAGAAATTTCTCTTAGTAAGAAGATATTCGACTTCAAGTAAATATATTCCTCTCGATGAAGAGGATAGAAAAATTATAATAATATTCAGTAAATTTCCGATTAATACACACTGAGAAAAAGATCCTTGAACATTTATTTGTCGGATATAAAGACTGTTTCACGGAAATAAAAACTTTATATCTCATAAATAAATTTCCAAATTTTTTTCTCAGTGTAGTCCACTTTACTAAAAGAGGAATACTCTTTGTTAAGTTTCCTCTTGGAATATGAGAATTCAGGAAAAAGCGTCTTGCAATTAGAGTTCTCTTTTGCGCGTTGGAATATCTTCTTTTTAGTTTTAAAGGAATCTCCTCTTCGTGTCATATTTAAAAGAATTTCCGCTTAGAATAACATTATATTTTTGTGGATGAACGCGCGAGATTACGAATATATTATGTGCATTCCAAATCGCTCCATGACGTGAGAATTTCTAGAATCGGCCGCGACAGCCAAGATAGAACGTCAAATATATACACGGCGCTCAATATAAATATTCCCAGCTCGAGCGTGCGTTCGAGAAGTCCGCGTTTGCTTTGGACGGAGAATCGTGTCTCGTAGAGAAGACGAGAGTGACAAACGTTACTCCTCCGTCTTTGAAGGTAGTACCAATTCCACAGACACCCGGGATATATTGTCATCGGCGGTCCTCTTATCGGCGAGGCGATGAAAGACCGCTCTATTCAACGTATTCCCCTCGCGGTTTACGGCCGCAAAGGGTCTTCGTCGGTATGTGAATCTAAAGAGCCGCAATAACTGAGCGCCATATGCGTTAAGAATTGAGACAAACATTTTCATCGAATTAATAAGAGTTATCTTTCACGTGACAAATCAAAGTTCACGATTATTAAACGATTGATAAAATGTATATCTGTTCAAAAATTGATCAAGTTTGTAAGATATATTTTACACGAGACTCTTTTCTTCCCACGAAAATAAAAAATTCTGAATATTTCTAGAGAGAATATGCCGTTTAAAATATGTTAACCTTCTGCGTACAGTGCTGGGTCTGTGAAACCCAGACAACCGCTCGCCAACTTTCGTAAAAATCGATTTCACTATGCTATTATCTTATAGCTTATACAAATGTTTCTGTACCTGTGGAAAAAATGTCCAAAAATATTGATTTCCAACAAGATTATTCTAAGTCTGACAGACCTAAATTGCGCCAAAGAAAAATATGATTGTACGAAGTGAGTTAGTAATCTTAATAAAGTATACTTTATAGGCGAGATTAGGATGAAAGATTAGGATTGCTACGGCTTAATAAGATACACTTCTTCCTATCTTTTAGGCATTATTAGATATACACATTAAATTGAATCCCTTTTTTTCTCAGATTACAGTTTCCCTACAACTTTGTACGCGCTCCCGTAGGGATTCTCTCACGTAACGCATCGCGGACGGTGTTTTATCGCGCTGGCGGCAGCTGCGTCTATATTCGGATACTTCGATATTACGTCTTTAACGACACCGAGAAGCTCCAAGTCTTCCGGTCGGACATCGTCGTTCGATGCCGCGTGCGCGGGGTCCGCTCGGGAAAATAAACGTCGGGCGCGGGGAATCGATGTGGACGAGAGTCGTATAACCGCACGGGGGCGAGCTTTCCTAGGAAGCCGAGCGGCGCGGCGATAAATATCCGAGCGGCCGTAAAGCCGGGCGTTAATGCACGCCCGACCGATTTGTTTAATCCGGTCGATATTTCGCGGTGCGCGCTGGGGTCCTGTAAGCAGCGCGCTATGCGATTTGGCAATTCCGTCGCCGGAAATAGGCTCGTAAAAGTGTGTAACGCGACAAACCGACCGTGACACACGTTCGCCGCCACTGCAGAGAGGGAGAGAGAGGGGACAGAGAGAGAGAGAGACTGCGCTACGATACTCTCTCCTCATTCCGAGGTACTTTTGTTAGTGACATTCGCGTTTTCGAGTGCTTTCGAATGAACGTCGATGTTTTCGTTGCTGAATACCGTGTTCGACGTTGATATGCCGATCAAATTGATTATATTGTTAAATCTCCATTTGTTAACGAGAAACATGTCTTTAAGGAAAAGAGAAAAGAAAAAATATGAATTCACTTCTTCAGTAGTTATTTAAAGTGATTGCGTGATTCCCTCGAGGCGGATTTTTTAAATAAATATACCTACATTTCTCTCTCTTTATTGCTATTTTCTTTGAAGAATTTGGAAAAATAGAATATAAAATCTAATTTTTATAATATATTAAATAAAATTCATGAATGAAATCTAATCTTTATAATATATGAATATCATTATAATCTAATCTTTATTATATATATCTAATTTATTAATGAAATTTAATTTTTATAATATATGAAATATGTAAGATCTAATTTTTATTTATATTTGCTATGAATTAAAAAAACACGTTATAAGTAAAAATGAGAAAAAGTATAGTTTATTAAAAGGAATATAGTTTATTAAAGAATATAATTTATTAAAAGGAATTTAATATTTTATTAGGAAACTTTTCCGAACATAGCACTTAAGCGATTAATGTGTAAAAAATTGTATAAAATAAGTAGGTAGTAAAATACAGAACAATAAAATCGATAATGAATTGAGTAGTAGCAATAAAATATGTGGTAAAATTAGTAATAAATGAAGTGATTAAGTATTGATATAAAATTAGTTCGCAATACCGGCTGGAACGAAAAGCGCGACATCGAGATAAACTGAAAATTGTCGCGAGGTTAAATATATAATTGTACAGCTATCAACCGTTTCTCGTTTTCTCTCTTTCTCACTAAGGTACACCCTTGTATTACACATGTGTGCTTTTGAAATACATACACACACGTTGTATACAAAATAAACGTAGAGTGGGAGACAGAGAGAAACGCAAATCACGCCGTCGCCGTCGCTACCGCCTAATAACGAGTTTTCCATACGGGCTGCCATTAGAGACAACGGTAATTTGTTATACAATGTGGTCGCCGACGCGATGCGCGCGTGACAATACTTTTTTATTACTTTTCGTCGAGGACACGTCGGTCGCTCTCGTACCACGCGCTTTGTCCTTTCTCGTTTACCGTTATTACGGTTTTATCCACGCGC